ATCAGAAAATCTTACTTGAGCTATCAGCTCAGGTGAGCTAATAAAAAATTATTGCCATTCATACGTCAACACAATATACCAGTATCTAAGAGAGCTTGAATTAAATGAAACCAAACTCCGGCACATCTGTTTCATACTTTGATTTTTTTTAATGAAAAATATGTTAATAGTAACCTAACTGCAAAGTTTTGTGATAAATATGATGACTTTAACTTTTCTGTCCTAAACTTATACATCAATATATCCTTATCAATTGCATTTGGGGTTCATACAGTATCTCTCAGTTGATTCGATACTCAAGAGCATGCTCTACAAATTTGTAAAACAAGGTAGGTTAAGGAGGTTGGTACCTTTGCACAAAAGTATTGAGAATTTTTGGTCTAGTATATTTTCAGAATCTACAGACATAGCTTAATAAAAAATCAAAACAAACAAGAGGCATATGGGCCTTATAGATCACCTGAGTACTGTGAAATCACAAATTTTCGTTTGGGGTTAATATTCGTTATTTTCGAGGCATTAAGAGACCCATAAATTTATGTCTACCATGAAATGCAAAATGTTACATATACATGTATAATTACTAAAAAGTTCTCCATCCACGAAAACAAATCCTCATGAACCAACAGTTTTCCTCAAACCATGAAAAATTGACTTCACGAAAATATGTGATTCTACAGTATCATGTATCAACTTTCCAACAATTGAATTTGGTTCGTGTTTTAAACCATATGCCATGAAATTCCCAACTATTGCTTGTTATCATAATTATACACTGAGCATGTTAACTCTAGTTACTTAATACCCAGAGGTAGGTCAGAGTAACAAAGAGAAAATGCATTTCCACTTTACAACCAGTTGTGCATCCCACCCCACAGGAACCACTGACCCTGCGGCCACATATTTCAAAATTTTGAAAATTTTATCATAAATGCTATTTCACCAGAAATATTTGATTAATACCGAAGAGCAGATTTCAAAGCATTAATTTATTTTCAGACTATATAACGAACCACAACCCCCACTCCCACCCCTAACAACCCTTGACCCAGGAGGCATGAAATTAATCATTTTGCTAGATGCCACTTTTTTCATCATAAATATATATACTTAGATAATTGGCGTAATACCTAGGAACAAAGGAAAAGATTTTCAAAGAATTCATGCATGTTCACTATATAATCATTAGAGCCCCGCCCTAATACTACAATCCCTGACCCAGAGGCCATAAAGTTGACAATTTTGGAAGAGACATTCTCATCATAACTAAGTTTTATGGTTTAATACCCAGGAGCTGAGATGAAGATTTAATTTTTTAAGAATAAATGTATTTTCACTTTATAATCATTAGATTTATAATCACAACCCTCTACCCAAGAGTCATAAAATTCACAATTTTGGAAGAAGCACTCTTGCTTATTATAACTATATACCTAGTTAGTTTGGTTAATATCCAGGAGCAAAGAAGAAGTTTTTTAAGAATCAATGTATTTTCACTGATATAATCAAGAGTCCCCCCATTACACCAAAAACCTGACCCGGGGGTAATGAAATTCACAAATTTGGTTGAGACCCTCTTGCTCAATATATATGCTCACTATATACTAAGTTAGTTTATTTATTACCCTTACATGTAGTTGGTTTAATATCCAGGAGCAGAGGTGAGGATTTTTAAGAATTAATACATTTTCACTATATAATCAACAGAGCCCCGCTATAACACGAGAACCCGTAACCCTGGGGCCATAAAATTCACAATTTTGGAAAATGCACTCTTGTTAATTATTATATGTACTTAGTTAGTTTGTTTAATACCCAATGCCATGAGCAGAGATTTTCAAAGAATTAATGTATTTTCACTATATAATCAATCGAGCCCCCCCCCCCCCCAACACCAGAACCCCTGACCCAGGAGCTATGAAATTAACAATTTGTGAAGAGGCATTATTATTCAACATAACCATGTACTTGGTTCGTTTGTCTAATACCCAGGACCAGAGGAGATGATTTTCCAAAAAATAATGCATTTTCACTATATATAATCTATATAGTCCCGCCCTAGAACCCCTGACCCTGGGGCCATGAATTTCATAATCTTGGTAGAGAACTCAATGCTAAATACAATCATGCCAACAGTTTGACTGTGTGATGTCCAGAAGTAAAGAAGAAGATTAGTAAACATTGCATTAATTTTAGTGGTTTTGGGCCCGCCTTCCAGACCCCAGTGGGTAAGGTGCCATGAAATTCACAAATTTTTATTCCCCCTCACTAATTGATACCAAAATTGAATGAAATTGGTTGAGCGGTTGCAGAGAAGAAGCTGAAAATGTTCAAATGTTAACAAACGACGGACGACGCATGACGACGGACGAAAACAGATACATAAAAAGCAATAAAATTATTTGAAAGTAATGATTATTTTCTGAATTCCGGAGTGGTTGTGTTTAGAAAATGAAATAAAAAGTGAGGATCTGTGATGTTAATTTTTAAATATTACTAAAATAGTGCTTTTTTGCATAAATTGGGCTATTTTTTTCAAGATTTTTCACGATATATTTGGTATAATTTACCCAAATTTGATGATATAATTCATGAATTGTAATTATAATTTAATATATAATTTTTAACCTCGTAACTGACATAAAAGTTGATGAAACAAACATATCAATAGCTTCTTTTACGAGGTTCGCTTCTCAGCTTTTCAGCAGATTTATGTCTTAACCTCTATCTTAAATATTAAATTGCCCACAACCTGAACAATCATTAGAAGTTGAAAGCGAAGAAGTATTAGATGGGATGGATACAAGTCCCATTTCGAATGAGGAAGCAAAGTATTCTCCAGAATAGTAATACAAAGAATCCAGGAAGGAATAGAAAAACAGCTGCGTGAGGAACAATCTGGCTTCAGAAGAGGGAGGAGTACAACGGAACAACTATTCACACTCAGTAACATCGTAGAGCAATGCACCAAATGGAATTCAGCATTGTTTGTAAATTATTTTGACTTTGAAAAGGCTTTTGATTCCATTCAGAGAAAGAGCCTTTGGTCCATCATGAAGTTTTATGGTATCCCTGACAAACTGGTCAGAATGGTGAAACTCCTATATGAATCATTCCAATGTGCACTCTTAGAAGATGGAGAAGAAACGGACTGGTTCTGGGTAACAACAGGAGTGAAACAGGGTTGCACAATGTCTGGATTTCTATTTCTGTTGGTTATAGATTACGTAATGAAAAGAACAACAGACAGAGAACCAACAGGAATAAGGTGGAATTTCACAACAAAACTCAAAGACCTAGACTTCGCAGATGATCTTCCGTTACTTTCCTCAAAATTTGAAGACATCCAGCAAAAGACACAAAGACTCAATGAAATTGCTAGACAAGCTGGCCTCAGAATAAACACTGAGAAAACTAAAGTGATGAAACTCAACACTGACATAAAAGAGGCAGTCAAGATTGAAGGGAAAGACCTAATGGATGTAGAAACATTTACTTTGACGAGGACATTACCAACAAACCAGGACTAACAACTGGGAAAAGCTAAGTCTCAATTTGGAAGGCTCAGAAAAATCTGGAGCACATGAAAATTTTCCATCCAAACAAAAGTAAAGTTATTTAACAGCTTAGTCCTGTCAGTCCTAATGTATGAAAGTGAAACATGAAAAACAACGGAGAGAAATATAAGGAAAATTGACACCTTCCAGAATAAATGCCTTAGAAAGATCCTGCGAGTAAGATGACCTGAGAAAGTGTCAAATAAGGAACTCCATCATAGAACAAAGACAGCCAGAGCAAGTGACATAAAAACACTCAGGAAGTGGATTGGATTGGCCATGTACTGAGGATGGATAACACCAGGATATGTACCACTGCATTAATTAACATGGCATCGAGAAGGGAAGAGAAAAGTAGAAAGGAGTAACGACGAAAAATGACCCCCGTAGAATATTGACCAGGGGGTCATTTTTCTACGTAGGAAAATGACTCCTGGTCAATATTCCACGACAAGTAGGGTCATTTTCATTTAGAAAACCATTTCCAGACCAGTAATTCTACGACTCCACACACGTTGAAAAATGACCCGCATAGAAATTTGACCCCCTACTTTTTTATACTATAAAATATTTTATTTTAATGCAATAAGTATTTTGATACCCCGGTTACCCATCAACTGGTTAATTTCTTTCCATAATCCTTTCAAAGCTAGAACACCATATCTTATCTGCCTTCAGTGAGTAAAAAGTCTGTGAAACAGTTTGTCGTGTGTTGCCACCTTTGTGACGTTTAATAATTTGTTTGAAATTCTCAAAAGTATTATTAATAATGACATATAATTTTTAGCACACACAAGATATCAAGATGAGAAATAAAACCAATTTTGTAAAGGGAGATAATCCAAATTTACAGTAATTACCACTTAGATTTAACAGAAAAATCATGAAAATGGGTCTGAAAACGCTAAAACATAAATTTAAACAACAAACAAATGGCGGAGGCGGGGCGGCAGGAGGTAAATAACAAACTTTGAAACAACGTCCGTCCTCCAAGGATGTAGATGGGAGAAAAAGCAGAGTAACGCACCGCATGGTCAGAATTTCATTTGTTAGATTTTGATTGGTCAGATTTTGATTGGTCAATCTCTGCCTCTCCTACCACGGTAAGACATGGAACAAAATTAACATTAAAAAGCACAGCTATACAGTATTTCAGACTTTCACATTCAAGGAGGACACTTATTGATTACAATAAAAATTTTTAAGCAAACTTAAATTTATTTATTTTAATGCAATAAGTATTTTGATACCCCGGTTACCCATCAACTGGTTAATTTCTTTCCATAATCCTTTCAAAGCTAGAACACCATATCTTATCCTCCTTCAATGAGTAAAAAGTCTGTAAAACAGTTTGTCGTGTGTTGCCACCTTTGTGACGTTTAATAATTTGTTTGAAATTCTCAAAAGTATTATTAATAATGACATATAATTTTTAGCACACACAAGATATCAAGATGAGAAATAAAACCAATTTTGTAAAGGGAGATAATCCAAATTTACAGTAATTACCACTTAGATTTAACAGAAAAATCATGAAAATGGGTCTGAAAACGCCACTGACTTGACCGAACTAGGGAAAGTTCAGACCCATAAAGGAAAAATAAATGGCAACACACCTCAAACATAAATCATACCAAAAGTGAGTAAAATTTACAAACATGGGAATAAACATATGTCCCGTAATGCAATAAAACAACTTTCTCAGGAAATATATATATGACAAGATACTGTTTCTATTAATTTGAATTCAAAAGTGTCTAATGAGGGATAAACATATGCCCCCATCACAACCAAATGAGTTTACTATTCCTAGTGTATTATGTCTGTGGGTCCCAAGTATTAACGAATCACTATGTAGAATGTTCGATAAGGGATAAACATATGCCCTTATAGTAGCAAATCATCATCTTATTCGCTGTTTTTTACTAAGTTCACATGTATGTGGTATTCACTTAAGGACTACTTCGAGCAATGTTTTAGATGAGGGATAGACATATGCCCTCTTATTGAAAAATATTTCACACTGTAAGCTTCCTCACCGTTTTAAATGTTTATATGCACGCGATCTTGTCACCTACCAGCCTAAGTATTAACAAATGACTTAGGCGCTATTGTTCTGGATGAGGGATAAACATATGCCCCCATACGTTAATACTTTTGAAAATCACTTCGAAGTCGAGATCCTACACAATTAACAAAACAAATCTGCTCCGAGGATCCACTTCCACTCAAGCATATATCAACATGGTGTCACGTGTCTTATGTAATATTTAAATGCATCCGATTTCCATCTACCCAGGAATCTAATCTGACTATCACTCATCCCTCGTGATGCACAGTAAGAGGCCATTCCGATTCGAAAGGAATGTCCTTTGAATCTATTGACATCCAAATTACAAAACATGAGGCTTTGCTTTAATATGTTTGAAAATTATTGCCTTGTGACTGCAGTGTTTTGGGGGTAGCAAAAAAGGGGCCCCGCGGCCCTCCCTCTCATCTTAATGTAGTGTTCTAATGCCCCCACTGGACAATATTTTACAGAATTGCAAGAATTAATTGTAAGAGTAAAAACTTTACCATCAGAATGTTTATAATTTTGAAAGCGAATCAAAACTTTACTTTTCTGAAAAGTAATCTATGAAACTTGTAAAACCTTATTAGCAGTGCCAACTGATGTTATCTCTCCTATTCTGAGGAAGCCGTGAAAAGCCAATAAAAACATTGTTTGAAATAATGCCCTTTTATATATGTTCGATATTGTATGTTCTAACGCATCACAAATTTTATGCAGAACTACTATGGTTATTGGTAAACGAATATCCATTGAAGGTCTTGATTTGCGACAGGAACTTAATAGTTTCTGAATGAGAAAGCATGATGTACTGTCAGGCAAACTATTAATTTTATGTATATATGCTATTGATGAAATAAATGACACGATAGAGGAGGCTGCATAACCTTCAGCAAATAAATAAGAGATAAACAAAGCCAAAGTTTCCTGAGACAACGGAAGATCATTACTCATATCAAATTTGTTTGCAAAATTTCTATAAATAGACCATGCCCGTTTATATGCTTGAGTGGAAGCTGGTGCCAATGTTGAAGTCAACAGGTTCCTCAAGACTGGTTCTAAGGAGGTAATGTTGGCAGATTGGGAATCACTGTTGGTTCTTTGTCCATCCAAGGAGCAAGTTGATGGAACTGCTGCACCTTCAAACGAGACAAGCAATCACATAGAATATTTTCCTTGGTACCCAGATGCCTAGCTTTAAACAAAATGTTAGACTGCAAACAAATTAGCACCAACTCTCTAACCAAATACATTATACTTTTATCCTTAGACGATTGCTTGTTAATGATATGCACAAGGGCATAATTGTCTGTGTAAAAGTAAATGCATTTGTTTTTAAAAATATGACTCCAAACTTTAAGAGCTAACACTATTGGGTAAAATTCCAAGAGAGTAATATTACATTTTTTCCAATTATCATTCCAAGTCCCATAGAACCAGTGCCCACCTAACACTGCCCCGTATCCTATAGATCCTGAAACGTCTGTATACAGTTTTAATTCATTGGAATCAACCCACCTATCTGGTAAGAAAACTGACCTACCATTAAATTTTTCCAAGAAGGCTAACCAAGTACATAAATCTGCTTTTACTTCTTTGTTTAGTCTAATGCGATAATATGCTTTTGTAATGCCAATAGTAGTGTTGATAAGTCGCCTTAAGAATGCTCTACCTGGCAAGACCACATTACACGCAAAATTAAGAAGACCAATCACTGACTGCATGTCCTTCAAAGTAATCTTCCTGCTTGGTAAAAGCTGTTCAATTGTATCTCTACATTTTTTAACTTTATCAATAGGTAACCTTGCCTCCATCATCTCGGTGTCTAATTCATATCCCAGAAAAGTCATTACCTTGTTAGGACCAAATGTCTTATCCTTAGCCATAGGTACACCTATGTCGGCGCAAACTGTTAAAAATGCCACAAGTTTTTTGTGGCACTCTGTTGCAGATTTGTCAACAATTAGAAAATCATCTAATACATGAGTCATAAATTTAATTCCTAATTTTTCTTGTGCAATCCACTGAAGTGCTGTACTAAACCTTTCAAATATACGACAGGAAGAACTGCAACCCATCTGAAGACATGTGTCAAAATACCAATGACCTTGCCAAGTGAAACCAAAGTATTCAAACTGTGATGCATGTAAGTTGATAATTCGAAATGCATTAGAAATATCTGTTTTGCAACAATATGATCCTTTCCCACACTGCTTAATGTTTTGAATAGCATCCTCTACAGAAGAGTATTGAACAAATGACTCTTCCTTCGGTATGCCATCATTGACAGACTTACCTTCCAGGTATGACAAATGATGGATCATACGGTACTCACCCTCTGTTTTCTTACTAACAAGACCTAAAGGGGAACAATTTAAAATTGGCAGTGGTTTCTCTTTGAAAGGACCCATAATTCTACCCAAATCCTTTTCTAACTTTTTGCTAATAACTTCTGGTAAGTCCAGTGCCGATTTTAAATTTTTTGAAAGAGTATTTCTACTTTCCCCTGTGTAACCAATGTGGAAACCATATCGAAAACCATTAACTAAAAATTCTGTTTCTACCTTATCATACCCCACCAACCAGTACTCTAATCTACTGGGATTTACTGGAGTTGGACCCTTTTGTGGGATAGGTTGGCTTTGAGAATTTAGCATTACCTGTGTTGGTTGATGTGCCATTTCCTTGAAATGGTTTTTGGGTTCTGGATTTGTCCAAGAAACGAAATGGCCGTTGAATTGGTTTTTTACATATATAGATTGGATGGAAGCCACCACAGTTATAACATCTGTGCTGGAATTTGCATGATGAACCAAGCCTACAATACCTTCCAGCTTTGTGATAGGCAAAGCATGACCCCTGAGGGATTTCCTCATACGTACCAAATGACGAACGGTCTGGTGTTATTTTGCTTGACTTCTTTTCTGATTGTTTGAGGCGAGCATTAACATATATCTCCATATGGACATCACCCCATTCTATCTCACCTTGTTCTATGAGTTCCCTGAACTCCTTATCATATTTTCTCCAATCCCCCTTTTCCTCTGCAATTTGCCTTACTGATTCCATGTGTTTTGCAAGCTTTGGCTGTGCAAGTGTATCTTTAATGCAATATATTGTCACATACCTATTCCACGCAGTTACCCAGTCATGCAGTGATAACGAACCATCCCTAACTTCGTCGTCATCTGTGGATCGCATATTGTGGATTACCACTTTACCTGTCTGATCTTGTTCCTCTACCTTGATAGAATACTTACTTTTCCCCTTTTCCTTTTTTAACAACAGGGCCATATCAACATATTGTTTTGACCAAATTTTAGATTTTATTTTGTCAGAAACAGTTGCCTCTATCGGTACTGATGAGCTTACAAAACCTGATTTCTTACCGACATTTGCTGCAGGTGGAAGTTCAGTACCTACAATCTGTGAACTGTGTTCGATTACAGCGCCTGATACCAATCCTGAGATACTTGCATCCACTGACTTATTTGTTATCTGACAAACTGACCCAGAAGGACCTGCTGTTAAGCTATTGCTTGATGTAGTGGAAGCATTATTTCCCCTTTCTCCCCCCATATTATGAACAGAGATACTCCCCTGATGTTGCAGTAATGGTTTTATCTCTGCTAACACCTTCTCCGTGACTGACTTTGTTATGGTTTGGGTTAATGCAGCCAAGGTTTCAGGAGGAACATCAAGGGGTTGAGTGCTTGTATCGACAGCCACAGCATCTTTGGTAGTGGACTCTCCAGTTCCGTTCTGTGCACGAGGTGGTCTTTTCGCCTGACTTGTTTTGGACTGTTGGGCTTTATTCCTTTTGCCTGGCATAATGCTGGTAAATATATACCTATAGAAATTTAAAATTAAGGAAGAAGGATGTATCCAATGTATTATGTTATGTATAAATATAAACTGTAAAAGGCTTCGGCCTTAATTGACAATGAACAAGAAGTGTAAGACCTCACTGTAGCCAGTGTAGGCCCTAACTGTAACTGTAAGAGTCAGTTAGCCTACATGACAACGTATTTGAGTATATTATTTAACATTACATTACATAACCACTTCAATCGCTCAGTACAATGTGTAAATCTAATACAACAAACTAGAAAGTGATGAACCTTTTCTTACAATTAATTTTTCACTTCATTGATTCTGCCGCTTTTCGATAAAACACCCTGTATCACCTACAGTTGTTGACAAAAATTTTCCGGAAATAGAGTAAATAGTAGAACCAAAAGTGTTTTGGAACAGATCTGTATTTCCCGAATTGCCGTAAGCCAATAAAAGCACCCATTGTGCGACTGCAAAAGCCATTAGTCAACATCACTAAGCCGCTGCTGATCAGTAAGAACTATCAGCCACATAAAACGAAAGGCTGACATAAGTTATAAATCACCACCTTTGAAGCCGACACCCCTCGTACCCTGTCAAATTCCCCAAGAAGGCTGTAGAGCCTTTCCCACAGATAACAACCTGTTCGGCTGTTGTTAATTGTTTTCATCACTACTACAAACGAGGTACTTGAAGGGCTTGTAATGTATCTAAGCGCAGTTGCAGAACAATAAAACCTTAATAAATGAATAATGAAAAACAACTCTTTGTACAAGACTCAATATTATATAAAGGGGATAGCAAATACAAACAGTAAACTTGTACCTTCAAAAATGAAATGCGGATTTTTATTTATTTATTTTTTTTTTTATTCATTTATTTATTTTTTTTTTAATTTTTCCATAATCTGGACCATTGAATCGAACCTGATTAGGTAAATCAACTTGAAGTGAAATCGATTTAAAAATCATTAAGGTAAAAGTGGGCCTAACATGAATTAAAAACCAAAACGGCTAAATGTCAAGTACAAAAGACTGCCTGAAACTTGTACCTAGGACTTGCCTAAAGTACTGTAAAAATTCACAATATTTTAGTAATCAACTAATACCGAAACAAACAAATTGGCAGATATTTTTCCAACAAATTGTTTTCTTTTTATGCATAAAAAGGATAAATCTGGAACGCATCAACATGCACTTCTAGACTTATCAAATAAACAAGCGATGGAAAATAAATCGCCGGGGTAAAAGTTGAAACTAAAATGAAAAGACCCGCATGGGTACAAACTTGGCAAGTACAAAAGACTGCCTGAAACTTGTACTTAGGATTTGCCTAAAGTACTGTAAAATTTCACAATATTTTAGTAATCAACTTATACCGAAACAAACAAATTGGCAGACAATTTCCAACGATTTTCCTTCACAGAAAAAAGGATAAGTCGATCTGGAATGCATTGAAATACATTCATAAACATCAAATAAAAAACGATGGAAAAAATCGCCATATGCAGGGTAAAAGTTGAAACTAAAATGAAAAAACCCGAACGGGTTTAAACTTGGCAAGTACAAAAGACTGCCTGAAACTTGAACTTAGGACTTGCCTAAAGTACTGTAAAAATTCACAATATTTTAGTAATCAACTAATACCGAAACAAATTAATTGGCAGACATTCTTCCAACGAATTTACTTCACAGAAAAAGGATAAATCTGGAATGCTTTAAAATACATTCCTAGATATCAATTAGAAAAACGATGGAAAAAATTGCCATCTGCATGGTAAAAGCCGAAACTAAAATGAAAAAACCCAAATGGGTTGAAACTTGGCAAGTACCAAAAAACTGCCTGAAACTTGTACTTAGGATCTGCCTAAAGTACTGTAAAAATTAAACTAACAACAAAACAATCAAATTTGCTGATACTTTTTCCAACCGAATTTTCTTCACAGAAAAAGGATAAATCTGTTTAACATTATTAAACATCCTAAATGCCTATCGTACTGTTAAAATAACAAAATGTTGCATAATTTCAATAATAATTTCAATAATTTCCACGAACAATAAAAGTAACAAAATGGTTACAAACTTTTATGACTTAGATGTATATCTATTTTCTCGCTGAAATTAAAGCTCCCCTTACACTCCTATATAAATGAACATTCCCCTGACTGTTCAGATGAACTCCGTCGTGAACGAATTTACGACTGCAGTCTCCTTCACGGGGAGAAACGAAATAATTCCCATGTTCCCAAAATACACAGTAACCCAGTGCTGGCAATGCATCCCTCAATATTGCGTTTACTTTGTCTGCAATATTATTGTACCCAAAACGAACACCAAATCGTGGCAATAATTTACAAACAATTATTTTTGCAACTTTATAGCGGCGATGCATTACCGATACCACAGATTCAATTTCTGCAGCTAACAAGGTAGCGTCGGTACTAGGACTAATATCGTTCTCCCCAATCATTAGAACAACTACATCTGGATCTAAAGCAAACACGCTCTCCATATCCTTAGATATTCTTCCACCCACACCCCTGTACAGAACGGAATGCGTTTCTCCAAGACCAAGGCTCGCAGAATACCTAATGTCACCATATTTCAAGAATTCATGAAAACGACGCACAATTGAGTGTCCAAGAATGACAACTGAAGTTTTACTCATAGAAGACATTATGAAATAATTTAACTCACCAAAATCTTGATAAAATAAATAACAAACTTTGAAACAACGTCCGTCCTCCAAGGATGTAGATGGGAGAAAAGGCAGAGTAACACACCGCATGGTCAGAATTTCATTTGTTAGATTTTGATTGGTCAGATTTTGATTGGTCAATCTCTGCCTCTCCTACCACGGTAAGACATGGAACAAAATTAACATTACAAAGCACAGCTATACAGTATTTAAGACTTTCACATTCAAGGAGGACACTTATTGATTACAATAAAAATTTTTAAGTAAACTTAAATTTATATATCTGTGTCTCCTGATGTATTTTTTTTTACCTTAAAACGAAAGGAGGGGGATTTTTTTTATGCGCATTACTCCTTTCCAACATATATTGTAAATCACTTTTTATTCGCGAGAACTTTATTTTCGCGTAATTACGCGAGACAGTATGCTCGCGAAAATTTATTTCTCGCGTTTAATAGTATTCCTTAGGATTATATAGAGCAATGACCACAATTCGTGAAAATTTTGTCTCGCTTATAAAGAATCAATGACTATCTCGCGAAAATAAGATGTCGCGAAAATTTAGTGATCTACAGTATTTGATTGTATCATCATAATTATTTTAATTCATTTTTGATTTCTTTGTAAAAAAATCAAAAATGAATTAAAATAATTAAAGATGCTCATTTCGGGGGCCTCCCTACAAGTGATATATATATATATATATATATATATATATATATATATATATATATATATATATATATATATATATATATATATATATATATATATATATATATATATATATATATATATATATATATATATATATATCTTAATAGTAGCATCATAATCAGTGTATCTGGTATGGAATTTTTTGGCTTGCAGAATCTCCACGAATATTTATTCATTGGGCCTAAATTTATGATTATATTTTGGGGGGTGTTTTTCTTGTTCAGAGGTTTTGTTTCAAAATTGGCATCATATATTTCTGATAACCATAGACTTATATATATATATATGTATGTATATATATATAATATATATATATATATATATATATATATATATATATATATATATATATATATATATATATATATATATATATATATATAGAAAGAACAAAGAAATTCACTTTTACATGGATACCCACTTCCGCCCCAGCCCGGGGTTGAACTCTCGACCTATATACCCCGGGCTGGGGCGGAAGTGGGTATCCATGTAAAAGTGAATTTCTTTGTGCTTTCTATATTAATATTTCTTCACTTAGGGCAGTTATGTTAGTTTAAGAGTTGTTATAAAATGTGCTTTATAAATAATAATTAATTTCATTACAACATGTATTGGTAACAATCCTCTGTTAAAACTAATGTTCAAATAACTGTATCTCTCAATGACCGTGTAGTGTAGGACAGCGCCGCGAGAATTCCATCGGCATCGAAAGCAAGTTTTTTTTGACTTGCCTAGATAGCCGAGCGGTCTAGCGCGCTGTTCCTGCACTGCTAGGAGACAGATTCCGAAGGTCGAGAGTTCAACCCCGGGCTGGGGCGGAAGTGGGTATCCATGTAAAAGTGAATTTCTTTGTGCTTTCTATATTAATATTTCTTCACTTAGGGCAGTTATGTTAGTTTAAGAGTTGTTGTAAAATGTGCTTATATATATATATATATATATATATATATATATATATATATATATATATATATATATATATATATATATATATATATTTGCTTCTATGCATCATCAGATTAAACAAGTTTTCAGTTTAAACTTTTTTTAAAGTGACTTTATAATGTGTTGTGATAATAATCTAACATGTCCTACGTTGCGAATTGAAAAATTAAGTTGATGTCATTTTCCTCGCCCCCAAATTCTAGGGCATAACTATCAATATGTCCTTTGCAACGACTCAGCGCTAGTGGGTTTCCAATGTACGGATGTCGTGGACGAAGACAATTTGTGCACTTTTATGCTGCTTTCTTCAACCAGCAATTGTAGCAGCAGTTTGTGTGGTAGTCCTCAATCGATAGCTGAGGGGGGATCTGACCGTCCTGTCTGGGTGTGGTAACCCGTTGACGGCCAGTTCTTGGTCTGTCATCCGTGTTCTTAGCTGGTGGAGACGTACGTAGAACCGCTACAAAGTCGATTGATGTACCCTTGACGCAGTTGCAACCTCCTGTTGCGTAGCCCAGGTGTAACGTTGAATTTTGACCCGGATTGAAAATTGAACTGGGGGTCATTTTTCAACGTTGAATAGTGAGACCAAGGTGTTGAATTTAGACCCTAGTCCGTTGAAAACTGAGCCGGGTCGTGGAATTTTGATCATAAAACCGGTTCTCAATTCAACAGCATAAAAACACATATTCATGACTTGATTTTCACAACTGTGATTAGGAAGGATGGGTCTAAGGATGCTTCCCCCTTTTTTGCAAAGATAGACACAAATATTGGCATTGAACAATGTAAAACTGGTTTAGACCTCCCTTTTCAACAGACACTTTACAGTGTAGCCAAAGAAAGAAGAGTAAGTGTAGTGCTTAAAAAAAGAGATTATATCCCCCCCCCCAAAAAAATGAAATTTTCGGGTTTGGACTACTAGTTTGGACAATGGACAATTTTTTCTGATCATTTTTTTTAGATTTGATTTTTTTTTCTTTTTCAAGTAGCCCCCCGTCCCGCACTTTCAATTTGCTTCCGACGCCAATGTAATCAATGCACACTTATTTCAGTAATTCAGTAATATTCGTAGAATAAAGTATTAAGAAAAATTACTTATATTTCAAAATTACATGTATTTTTGAATCGCAATATTTCGTGTAATGTTTA